GTGACTTGCTGGCAGAGCCATGATGCCGATAGTTTCACTTTTATATGCTGAGGTTTTGAGATACCCATCTCTGACACAAAGGAGATGAATGAAAGCTAATTTGCTGCTCAAGGTTTTGATTGAAACAGGACAGAAACAAAGTCCTCTCTGTGAGAAGTTTTCATAGGGAGTATTTCATGGGTTGAAAGTAGTTCCAATTAAAACTGCTGTTGTTAGGTAAGTCAGCGACTGGGGCTTTTTTTCAAAATAATTTTCCATTTTCTAAATTCTTTAGCACAAAGGTTATTGCAGGAAATCTTACACGACCTTGGGTCCCCTGAAAGGTGCTAAATAAATGTAAATTATAATTATTATTATTATTACACAGGTTTCCTCAAACGAGCACAATCATTACTGGAATTTGTAGGTTAATATTGATAAAGATAATTTGAGTTAAAGGGTATATATTTTATTTTAAATATAATCTTGCTCTGAGTTTGGAAGTAGATAAAATTGCCATGGGATTGAAAGAAGGGAAGATTTGCCCCTTCAATATTCTGACAATTGTCCCGTTTAACTTTGATACTGAAATAAACATAATGATCAGGCAAATTCTGGAGACGCATCGTTTTTCTATATTCTATTATCAGTGATTTCCATTATAACCTTTTATTTGTTATGAACAGCTGGTATAATGATCCTCAGAAAGCGTGACAACTGAATCTAAAAACATATATATATGTTGCATCCAATACCTGCTCTAGTGGTCATAATATTGTGGGTAAATGTAATCGGGCCTTAATATGAAGTTCACACTTGGAAACTTACTACACTTTCTCTAACTGATAGATGCAAACATTATGATCTAAAACTAGCAGGGAATGAGCATCTCATGCTGTGAGATGTATTGTGTTGTAGGTTGGGGAGTCTACACCGTATTATACTCTGCTATACTGTTTATTTGAAGGGATTCTCATAACAACACTGAAGCACCTTTATGTTAAGCTTATTGAAATGTTTCCTCTTACAGTCGATACTAATATGTTTTTTACATCCATATGCTTCAGTGCGGTAACAACCATACACTTCATATTACCCGAAAAGATTTCTATAATTTGAGATCACTACAGGGAATCACCTAAGAAATGCTGAGGTTAACTTTAATATACTTTATATACACTCAGCCTCATAAAAGCTTCCCAGTTGACTCTCTCCAGCATTTGGCTCTGTTGTTATTGCAGCCGCTTCTATTCTCTCGTTCTGCTCTCTCAGTAAAAGCTGTCGGACACAGAAACTGAACCCACATGTCTTGTCTACGCAAAGCATTAACAATTTATTACAACTTATGATGTCATTCCAAATGTAACTGTAAATCTAAATGTCATCTCTGAAATCAGGTTATTTTGAAACCTTGAGAAATTACCCGCTTTTGTTCATTCATTGTCGAAGCATTGTCTAACAACCAGCTTCTGGGTTATTAATGACTCATTTGAATATCTAATTAAACAGAAGACACGTTAAAAACACTGTCAAATGCTTTCCTTGGCACACGTTATCAGGGTCGTCATCAAAATGTTACAAGAAACCCATGACACGCTTTTGGTCAGAAGATGGTTTTGTGAATGATGCACCCTAAGAGGAAATGTGAAAGGCACAAAACATTAAAATAGGGTATGTTAAAGCTGAGAGCTTACAATTAAGGATATAAACCTTTAACTGTCTCAAAAACTATTTTTAGGACTTGTGAAAACCAAGCTGAATTTTTAAAACAAGCATACTAAGAGTAGAAACTGATTATCTTTTGTTGAGCATATATTGCATAATGAAGAGACTGTAGAGCTTGTACATCTAAAGCTGAAATAAATTGATGGTTTGACTTTTTATTTCAAAGGGATAGTGCAATGTTAAGAGTTAGATTTGCAACATACAAGGTAGCATTTGATGCTGCTGTGCATGTGTC